TGTAAACAATAAGAAAAAATGAAGCGAATATTGTACACTAAACTTGTGTGCTCTTGTCTTCCGGATATTGGCCTAATGGTATTTTTACTGACGTTGTGTCGTCCTGGAGGGTAAACATTATGGAGGTGTGTCCTTCCAAAGTACATACTCAGTGGAGTTGTGTTCTATTCAATTGTTGACTAACTTTACTGGAGTTTCTTTCCAACCCAACTGACTCACTGAAGTTGTCTTTTTCCAAATGTGTCATAAACCAGAGTCAATTTACTGAAGTGTCTTTCCTATTCAAATGTAGACAAATTTAAGGTATGTCTGACAATAGAAATATTCTGGATGTATAAAAAATTAAAAGTAGATATCGCGCTCTAACAGGAAGGTGTGTAAAATAAAAAGTAGGTATCGCGCTCTAACAGGAAGGTGGTTAAAATTAAAAGAATGCATCGCGTTTTAACAGGAAGGTGTGCAAAATAAAAAGTAGGTATCGCGCTCTAACAGGAAGGTGGTTAAAATTAAAAGAAGGCGTGTAAAATAAAAAGAAGGTTTCGCGTTCTAACAGGAAGGTGTGTAAAATAAAAAGTAGGTATCGTGCTCTAACAGAAATGTGTGTAAAATTAAAAGAATGCATCGCGTTTTAACAGGAAGGTGTGCAAAATATTAAAAGTAGGTTTCACTCTCTAACAGGAAGGTGTGTAAAATTAAAAGAAGGTTTCGCGTTCTAACAGGAAGGTGTGTAAAATAAAAAGAAGGCTTCGCTCTCTAAAAGGAAGGTGTGTAAAATTGAAAGAAGGTTTCGCGTTCTAACAGGAAGGTGTGTAAAATTAAAAGAATGCATCGCGTTCTAACAGGAAGGTGTGCAAAATTAAAAGAAGGTTTCGCGTTCTAACAGGAAGGTGTGTAAAATAAAAAGAAGGCTTCGCTCTCTAAAAGGAAGGTGTGTAAAATTGAAAGAAGGTTTCAACAGGAAGGTGTGTAAAATTAAAAGAATGAAGGTGTGTAAAATTAAAAGAAGGTTTCGCTTCTAACAGGAAGGTGTGTAAAATAAAAAGAAGGCTTCGCTCTCTAAAAGGAAGGTGTGTAAAATTGAAAGAAGGTTTCGCGTTCTAACAGGAAGGTGTGTAAAATTAAAAGAATGCATCGCGTTCTAACAGGAAGGTGTGCAAAATTAAAAGTAGGTTTCGCTCTCTAACAGGAAGGTGTGTAAAATAAAAAGAAGGCTTCGCTCTCTAAAAGGAAGGTGTGTAAAATTGAAAGAAGGTGTGTGAAATTAAAAGTAAGTATCGCCTCTAACAGGAAGGTGTGTAAAATTAAAAGTAGGTTTTGCTCTCTAACAGGAAGTTGTGTAAAATTAAAAGTAGGTTTCGCTCTCTAACAGGAAGGTGTGTAAAATTAAAAGTAGGTTTCGCTCTCTAACAGGAAGGTGTGTAAAATTAAAAGTAGGTTTCGCTCTCTAACAGGAAGGTGTGTAAAATTAAAAGTAGGTTTCGCTCTCTAACAGGAAGGTGTGTAAAATTAAAAGTAGGTTTCGCTCTCTCACAGGAAGGTGTGCAAAATTAAATGTAGGTTTCGCTCTCTAACAGGAAGGTGTGCAAAATTAAAGTAGGTATCGCGCTCTAACAGGAAGGTGTGTAAAATAAAAAGTAGGTTTCGCTTTCTAACAGGAAGGTGTGTAAAATAAAAAGTAGGTTTCGCTCTCTAAGAGGAGTCGTCAGAATCAATCAACTGGATCGTGGGAGCCTTAATGTGGAATCAGAGTCAATCCACTGGATCTTTTGGGTACTGAAAAGACGTGAATATAAATCGTAGATCCTGAGGGGCTTTAACAGAACTTGCGGATTCTGTTGAATAATTCAGTAGTTGACGTGTCGTTTGCCTTCAAGCACAGTCGATTTTATCAACAGCCTGACAAACCATCAACCTGACAAAGTAAATGTCAACTAATATGGAAACTTATTAATCTAATCATTTTAAATATTGTTTTGCATTATTTTGAATCGAGTCTTCGTATTGTGTTCCGCCGTGTCAGTGTTCGTGCCAGCCGAGCGAGCAATACTACTGTAAACGAGGGAAACACTATTACAATGCTATCGTATCGATTTTAAACTCGAGCGAACGTAAAATGACATGCATTTCATTACAACCATCGTCAGCATTCAGCTCCAGCTGTACGTTTGATGTGCCATCAAAGTAAAAGTTTCTACAAAACAAAAGCCTAATTAAATTTCATACTGCTGTGATCAACGATACGTCACAAGTAGCTTTAGTTCTGAGTAAGACCCACAGTGTTAATTGAATTGATGAATATCTCGCTGTTTATACCGACTTACTTGTAAAGTCATATTATAATATAAATGACTTTTCCAAAAAGCGTTTTAATCTGTTTACAAATATTGACATTGTTACGCATTGTTATTTATTTATACCATCTTTTTTTATTTCAGTACAAACTAGGACTAACAATAGCAACACACTGTATATGGGTAAACAAACTCGGTGTGACGATCTATTGTACATGTTACAGATAGATCTTGTCGATTGTAGTCAATGAATTCACTGAAATGTTACATATTGTACGCGTAGATTACATGGATAGTTCACAAAAGATAGAACTATGTTATTTAGTAAACGAAATGTTGCGAGCGCATGAACATTTCAACATTTAAAAAAAGTTTAGCAAATATCGTTTGTGCAGTTTATTTGAATTCTAAATGCAAATAAAAAAATCAGTTTATAGTGATGTTACAAACAGGGATATCTGTCCGAAAATCTATAATGAAAAAGAGGATTGTTGCATGTAGACAGCCGACCTAATATACTTACTTAGTGAATTAGAATCACCTGCCGGCGAGTTGGTCAGTCTGTCGCTCTCACCGCTGGTCACTTTATCCACAGCCATTTGTATATTTTACACTTTTTTGTGGTTTCCAGCTAGCGTACAAATCTTCAATATCTTTCACTTTCAAGTCGAAACCCACCTATGAAATCATTTTAGAGAACATTGCAACCAAGCATTTTCTATTAAGCTTATCCATTATATTACATTTAATATAAGTACTGATGCTGGAGATCAACCCATTCACTAATGTAATATTTTTTGTATGTACCACTAGTGTAATATACCATAGAGCGTTTTTCATTGGCCGAGCCAGTAAGAAATCGATTTTGACTTCACGATATTGACAATGATGTTAGGTCTTGATTTGAAAACGGCGCAGCAAAACGGTTGCCTCCGTTTGATTTAGTCATTCACATCTTGACGTTAAAATCTGTCAAAATGACACTTTTCTAAGTGATAAATAGTATCTGAAATTTTGTTTTCATTTCAGTGAAATTTTATTGAACTCATCTCGAAGTTTCAATATTTGGTAGCCTCAAAAACTTCTTAAACTCATTTCATGAAATCTTATATGAAATGAAAACTCGTTTGAGATCCTGTATTTATCAGATAAAATCTTCGTGTTAAATTTTACGTTGTCCAGCTTGCATCCAGACCCCAGATTCTCAAAGCTTGGTTAGGATCTCAAAGTGTTGCCACTTAAAAGATCATGAATTTCCAAATTAAAACTGACACCCAAAATATATCAGTCTATAGTGTCTGTAGTTGTGGAATGATAAAATCTCTTCTCAATTAGGTACAGTTTATAGATGAAAATTTTGGCTGGTTTACTCTCAGCAATGTTTGATCAAAGATTGTCATTGGATTCCAATGGAATGCAGCTACTTTGTGGAATGTCGCTTTTAATGGACAACTTCTAAAAAGGCATGCTCGTCTCTATTGGTTGGGATGTAATTGGCACCGCTTTACCTTATGCCTAATAATTTATGAAAGGTTACCTAAGTACACAAGTAAAAAGAGAGCGTATCTACATCGACGGGAACAGATGAAAACTCCATTAGCATAGGTATTGTGTTTTCTTTAGACTTGGTAAACCATGTGTGACTTTGTCTATCATTGCTACCTTGAGTTGTCAAATTCCAATACCGTCTGCCTCACCCATTCCGTTCTTATTGTGCGATTCCTACAACCGGAGACGGAAATAGCGCCCATATTATAATATAGTCTAATCATACTATGTAAAACATGCTGTCACGCTGGTATGCGTTTCTTTTTCGCAGAATCAACTTCTTTGGACGCAAAGAAAATATGATGATAATACTCATAACATGTATATTATCTTAAAAACTGATTTTCGGCAATTCTAGTTAACTTCAAAATATATATGCTTATATGTACACAAGTAGTTAATATGCGATCCACTCCTCCATTATGATTCGAATTATATTGAAAAAAAATCCCATGAACCATTACGCCTCAGATGTATGGGATGGTTTCTCTTTAAAAGCCATTTGTGATTAGATCGAATCGAAGTGATATGATTTTCAGACCGTTTACAATATTGTGTTATTGCTTCCTTGATACGGAAAATGCTGAAAATGGACTTCCTTGTCTTGTCATTAATCATATTGCTTTCTATCTTCCCACGGCGCCAAGATGAACCATGGTTAATCTCATTGATACTAATGCTACATGTGTGATCAATGACCCTGTCCCCCTCAATCTGCTCAATTAATACATGTACCGATACTACATCGTACAGACGGCAACAGAATTATTGTATGCATATAGCTTTTAACATTATGGTGTGGTGACAAGACCAACTCTCTCCGAGATTAACCTTGAATCAATTACAATACCGATTGTCAATACTCCTGCATGACCTTAATTCATAAATTACAGACAGCTACAGCCTACACGTGTCACCAAGATGACCTTGACGTTAAGAGTTATACATATATTCTGTTATAGAATACAAGTAACTAGTGATGATGTTATTCGTCCTAGTGACTTTGACCTCGTGTAATGTACCTTTACCCTTGTGACCTTGATATTGTGTGGTGTCCTTACTCTGCTGGTCTTGGTCCTGATTTATATGTTAACCATGGTGACCTTGAACCTGTGTTATATCTTTACCCTATTGACCTTGACCTTATTTTGTATATTGCAGGTACCCACCAGCACCGCCACCACTTCCCAGAGGTATTTTCAGAGGAAGACCGCCTCATCAAGTACCTACTACGTATCAACTCCGTTCGATCTCTATATAGTCGACCAGTGCTGAATTATTCTGATTCTGTAAACGTGAAATTCGGATTACAACTTATACAAATCATGGACCTTAACGAACGAGATCAAGTGCTCACACTCAATGTCTGGTCACATTATGTAAGTATCTGCTTTTCCCTACATCTTTTTATTGTACTGTGTTTACATTTAGTACGGTTTGGAAATCTTATAGAAAATGTTTGCATGCAATACTGTTTTGACCCAGTATATCGACAAGCGATTAAGAAATAACTGTTGACGTCAACAATTCTATATTAACCAACACTTACTAGGTTATCATATTAAACTTTAAGGATGCGAAATCCTGCTATTCCAAACAAACGAGAGATATCCTTGTTCACCAAGTCTAATTACAGCGATGCTATACAACACAAAATCAACTTCAGGCACCCTTCTACTGCAGAAACATTCGGGAGATACCCAATACAAAATAATTATGATATATCCAGTGGTATCATCTTTCACCAGTTCTGATTAATAAGGAGACACGTTTACATAATTGTTTATAATTTAAACATACACCCTTCCACCTGGACCGCAGAGAGATATTCCGATAGGTGGAATGTAGATAATTGAGTCTATCGCGATATTGAAACGCAGCGTTTGTGAGCCATTTAAGTCTATCTAGAAAATTGCTTTATGGAATCTACAGTGTGCCTCGTCAGATATGCATAATTGTATAAAATAATTTGAAAATATATATGAATAATAAGAGATAGATGTGGTTACATTTCACTAAAGAGTTTGGAATAACACCAGAATTTGTATATGAACGTGACTGCAACGCATAGATTGTCTTGTCACGTGATCGACGTGGTGTGTACTATTACATATACATATATGCAGATTGTTACTTATTTGTAAGGGAAACCCTCACTTTTATACATAAACCATTGCTTTGTTATTAAATCTGACGTTTAATTTCCTGTCGAGTTTGGTCTGTAGACAGACAGCGTTCAAACCAAGGGGCTGACCAGAGACAAGTCTGTCATAGGAAGGCTGATAAATCAAATTACTTCTGGGAACCCACAGACTGGACCCTCATCCCTTTTGATTGAAGTCTGTTCCGAGGAATTATTGTCGGGTTAAGATTCATGTGCCACCATCCGTGGCGTGAAAACAGAGCCTCGGACTGCTGGACCTCGGACAGAGACGCGGCGCTGGCGGTCACACACGCGCACTTCTCGGGAACGGGCCGCTTTACCTCCCTGACAATTTATCAGTAATATACTCGGGATATTATTGGATGTTGGTCGCCTTTCGTATTTCATTATTTTAAAATCATTTTACCGGAATTCCTTATTGATTTAAATAACAATTAGAAGACACATTGCCCACCTTGTCTACACAGGGATCACTTTCGTAACCTGGAATAAACTACACCAAGTTAATTAAATCTTATTTAATTGCAAACGACCAAACACATTATAGATGTATAACGTGAATTTTGACGCCACAAAATCGAAAATGTATATCTGAGTCTGTCAGAGTCGTGTGCGGATATATCTCATCCTCGAAGTACACTCAAACCGACGATGGCAAATACAACTTGTTACAAGGACGCATTGCCGATGTCATTAACGTTATATGTGTATGTAATAGCACCAAAAGTGTTTATGCGAGGGATAAACTGTATGGTAAAATCGCGATAATCCGGACGCTGAGAATCAGGACAACTCACGGTATCTAAACAGAAGGAATAACATTACGACCAGTAAGTTGTGTGACAGTAGCTCTGGTGACGAGGAAGTCGTGTGACAGTAACTCTGGTGACGAGGAAGTCGTGTGACAGTAACTCCGGTGACCAGTTAGATGTGTGACAGTAGCTCTGGTGACGAGGAAGTCGTGTGACAGTAGCTCTGGTGACCAGTTAGATGTGTGACATAACTGGTGACCAGTTAGATGTGTGACAGTAACTCTGGTGACGAGAAGTCGTGTGACAGTAACTCTGGTATTAGATGTGTGACATAGCTCTGGTGACGCACAGTAACTCTGCCATGTGTGTGACATAGCTCTGGTGACCAGTTAGGTCCAAATGTGTGACATAGCTCTGTGACGTTAGATGTGTGACATGTCTGGTGATCGTGTGACAGTAACTCTGGTGACCAGTGTGTGTGACAGTAACGTGACTTGTGTGAGATGTGTGACAGTAACTCTGGTGACCAGTTAGATGTGTGACAGTAACTCTGGTGACGAGGAAGTCGTGTGACAGTAACTCTGGTGACCAGTTAGATGTGTGACAGTAACTCTGGTGACGAGGAAGTCGTGTGACAGTAACTCTGGTGACCAGTTAGATGTGTGACAGTAACTCTGGTGACGAGGAAGTGACAGTAACTCTGGTGACCAGTTAGATGTGTGACAGTAACTCTGGTAACTCTGGTGACGAGGACCAGTAACTCTGGTGAGTAGATGTGTGACATGTCTGGTGACCAGTTAGATGTGTGACAGTAACTCGTGTGACAGTAACTCCGGTGACCAGTTAGATGTGTGACAGTAGCTCTGGTGACGAGGAAGTTGTGTGACAGTAGCTCTGGTGACGAGGAAGTCGTGTGACAGTAACTCTGGTGACCAGTTAGATGTGTGACAGTAACTCTGGTGACGAGGAAGTCGTGTGACAGTACCAGTTAGATGTGTGACATAGCTGGTGACGAGGAAGTCGTGTGACAGTAACTAGCTCTGGTGACCAGTTAGATGTGTGACATAGCTCTGGTGACGAGGAAGTCGTGTGACAGTAACTCTGGTGACCAGTTAGATGTGTGACAGTAACTCTGGTGACGAGGAAGTCGTGTGACAGTAACTCTGGTGACCAGGTAGATGTGTGACAGTAACTCTGGTGACGAAGTCGTGTGACAGTAACTCTGAAGAGGAAGTGTGACAATAACTCTGGTGACGAGGAAGTCGTGTGACAGTAACTCTGGTGACCAGTTAGATGTGTGACAGTAACTCTGGTGACGAGGAAGTCGTGTGACAATAACTCTGGTGACGAGGAAGTCGTGTGACAGTAACTCTGGTGACGAGGAAGTTGTGTGACAGTAACTCTGGTGACGAGGAAGTCGTGTGACAGTAACTCTGGTGACCAGTTAGATGTGTGACAGTAACTCTGGTGACGAGGAAGTCATGTGACAGTAACTCTGGTGACCAGTTAGATGTGTGACAGTAACTCTGGTGACGAGGAAGTCGTGTGACAGTAACTCTGGTGACCAGTTAGCTGTTAGATGTGTGACAGTAACTCTGGTGACGAGGAAGTCGTGTGACAGTAACTCTGGTGACCAGTTAGATGTGTGACAGTAACTCTGGTGACGAGGAAGTCGTGTGACAGTAACTCTGGTGACCAGTTAGATGTGTGACATAGCTCTGGTGACGAGGAAGTCGTGTGACAGTAACTCTGGTGACCAGTTAGATGTGTGACATAGCTCTGGTGACGAGGAAGTCGTGTGACAGTAACTCCGGTGACCAGTTAGATGTGTGACAGTGGTGACGAGGAAGTCGTGGGACAGTAACTCTGGTGACCAGTTAGATGTGTGACATAGCTCTGGTGACGAGGAAGTTGTGTGACATAGCTCTGGCGACATGTAAGTTGTACATGTAGTAAAATGAACAAAAATTATGACCGTCATACCGTAAGACGACAGGTATTTTGCATGACGCAAGCCGTGTCGCACGAGGTCCAAATGTCACGCCGTGACGTCATGTCATCCTTATGTTAAAACGTCTTGAGCATGGCGCCCAGTATTCTGTGAGACGTCAATCATGACTACCTTTATATGATTTACTATGCAGTCATCGAACCCTTTATTTAGTTTGAATTTCACAAGTCATGGCGCCCAATATGTTGATTCTACACCAATCATGGTGCAAAGTTAGTTGTACGACCTCAGTCATGGCGCCCAATATGTTGTTCTACACCAATCATGGTGCATAGTTAGTTGTACGACCTCAGTCATGGCGCCCAATATGTTGTTCTACACTAGTCATGGTGCATAGTTAGTTGTACGACCTCAGTCATGGCGCCAATCAGTTATTTATACAACACCAGTCATGGCGCCCAGTTAGTTGTACGACCTCAGTCATGGCGCCCAATATGTTGTTTTACACCAGTCATGGTGCTTAGTTAGTTGTACGACTTCAGTCATGGCGCCCAATATGTTGTTCTACACCAGTCATGGTGCTTAGTTAGTTGTACGACCTCAGTCATGGCGCCAATCAGTTATTTATACAACACCAGTCATGGCGCCCAGTTAGTTGTACGACCTCAGTCATGGCGCCCAATATGTTGTTTTACACCAGTCATGGTGCTTAGTTAGTTGTACGACTTCAGTCATGGCGCCCAATATGTTGTTCTACACCAGTCATGGTGCTTAGTTAGTTGTACGACCTCAGTCATGGCGCCAATCAGTTATTTATACAACACCAGTCATGGCGCCCAGTTAGTTGTACGACCTCAGTCATGGCGCCCAATATGTTGTTTTACACCAGTCATGGTGCTTAGTTAGTTGTACGACTTCAGTCATGGCGCCCAATATGTTGTTCTACACCAGTCATGGTGCTTAGTTAGTTGTACGACCTCAGTCATGGCGCCAATTAGTTATTTATACAGCACCAGTCATGGCGCCCAAAAGTCTGTCTAACTACACCAGTCAAGATGCGCAGTATGTTGTACAGTTGTGGTAACTCACAACGCGCCAAAAACGTGCATTCTAGATTATCTAAAGCCCAACTGTGGGATTGGATTGCATATATTGAGCGGTTTGGTAACAATGTTTGATCTATATGAATGATTGAAGATTAAACTGAAAACTCGTGTAGTTATGACTAGATAGCTACCATAGGCGTATTAAAAGCTGATTGGTGGTTATAAAGGTCATTTTTTACTCGACAGATTTCGAAATAACACCGAGCTCTGCATTTCATGTAAATAACCTTTCTATCATACATGTTTATAGTTTCGCAACATAGAGAGTAGCGAATTACCTTTTTACGGGTTTATGCAAAATATAGGTTAGAATCCCCGTATTTCAAACACAACACTTAAAAATTACCTGAGTACATATTTTGTGTTTACTAAATGATAGCAAAAAATGAAAGTAATTCAGAAATTG